TGGTCCTAAAGTTTATTTTATTCTTGAAGCCTTTAACTCCTTTTTTCATGTGCCAAGAATCTCTTAAAGAGATCTTTAAAAGCCCCTTTGCTTGAAGATATTGGCATACATTGGTCAACACAGTGGCATAATCTATAAATTTACAGACATGAGCCATTTGATAGAGTTATAACTCCTTCACCCAAAGCATAAGTCTGTGAATTGTCCAGGTGCCCTTCTTTTTTTTCCTTCTATCTATCCTGCTAATTCAAAGTGATCAGACTCAAAAGTGTGAGATGAGCAGAAGAATGGATAACATTTAGTTGTGTCTTAGTCTAGAGTTGGCTGTAGACTGTTTATGTTTATGTTATCTGGTGTTATCTGGCGCATGCATGTATGCACTTCAGTGCTAGGAAAGCAGGGTGGTTTCAGAAGTCAGAAAGATACAAGGGAAAAACTGATGTCCTTGTGAACTTACAACTTTTTCACAAGTTAGTTTCACAAAAACCAGTCAGCTCTTCAGAAGATTGGCTGACACCTCAAAACAAAACAAAACAAAGCAAAAAAGACCCCAAAACAAGAAGCAAAACTCAAGAGTTACATTGTGAAAAGTAGTATATAGTGCACTGACAGCACCAAATGCTGGTGATGATAGGAAGCAACAGGAACTCTCATTCACTGCTGGTGGCCATGCAAAATGGTATAGTTTGATAGTTTCTTACAAAAGCTAAAAATTGTTTTACCATACAGACCAGCCATCATATTCCTTAGTATTTACCCAAATGAACTGCAAACTATGACATATCCATATGATGGGATATTACTCAGGAATAAAAAGAAATGAGCTATCAAACCACAAAAAGACGTAAGGAAACTGAAGTGGCAAATTGCTAAACAAAAGAATCCCATCTGAAAATACATACTGCATGATTCCAACTGTTTGACACTCTGGAGAAGACAAAACTATAAAGACAGTAGAAAGATCAGTGGTTACCAGGGATATGGGGGAAGAGGGGATGAGCAGGCTGCACACAAGAGATTTTTAGGGCAGTGAAACTATTCTGTATGATATCGTAATGGTGGATATAGGACATTGTGCACTTGTCAAAACCCACAGAACTGTCCAACACAAAAAGTAAACCCTGATGTAAACTATGGACTTTAGTTAATAATAATGCATCAGTACTGGTTCACTAATTGTAATGAACGTACCACACTAATGCAAGATGTTAATAATAGGAGATATTGTGTAGGGAGCCAATGGAGAGGGGCTATATGGGAACTCTGTATTTTCTGCTCAATTTTTCTGTAAACCTAAAACTGATCTAAAAATAAAATCTGTTCATTTTTTAATAAAAAAAATCACACACAGTAGTGTCACAGGGGCTTTAGACACCTTGCCTACATCATTTTTGTCAGGTGCGTGCACCCACTGCCCAGTTGCTATGAGGTTAGCTGCTAACAGCTCTCAGTTGTGCCCTTCGGAGGAGTGCCCTCAGCTGACCAGAGCTGTCTAGCCAGGAAATGCCTGACAGGTTATGGCCTCCCTCAAGGGCAGCTTTTGGCCAGCCAGCCAATGGCTGACTGATTCGGGGTACAAAATGGGACACCTGTGGTACCATCTATGGTCCAGGGTTTCCCAGGAGATCAGGCTGGCGCTAGACTAGAGCAGAGCCCACTTCTTCCCTGCCCTGTCTTCTGTCCTCAGTGCTCTTACAGGTTTCCTCTGAAAGCCCTTTCTCCACCACTCACTTGTGCAACCTGCTGCTGGGAAACCTGACCCAAGACAGTACCAGGAAAGGTCCTAGAAAGAATGGGATTCTGGCGTTATTAGGTCACTTGCTGGCCAGGTGGCAATGAGGATTCCATTGCTGCTGGTTAGGTGGCGTGTGGAAAGCCCTAGGCCCTGGTTTGTGGTAGCAGTTCAGTTGCTAAGATCTTCACCTGTGGTGATACCTGGGGTCAGACACAGGGGGACAGGGATGCACCAGTTGGTGCAATGTCTCTAGGATTTGAGAAGTTTGGGGAAAATATTAAGTATCAGGACCACAGAATTGGGAGGCTATTGCTAAGCACCATGGATGCACTGAAGAGAGTGAAGAAAGTGACAGCCTCAGATTAACCACCAATTTAAAGCCCCATGTGAGAATCAGAGGGCTTCCTTGCCAGTGTTCAGCCCCTCATCTTCTACAGCATGGCACTCTGTGAGAGAAGGATGAATTCTCAGCCTAGGCAAATGCGCTGCCTGATCATTTGGGGCTCCTAGTGCTAGTAGAAGAGCAGGCAGGTCATGCCCTGATAGGGAAGATGTGGGACTGTAAAGCTTGAGATGAGAACATCTAGGTCTAGCCCCTCTATCCCCCTGGGCTGGCGTAGTGGCCTACCCCCCCCTTGTTGGGAGGGAGACTCTTCTCCCCACAAAATTATGCAGAAGCCTCAAATGAGATGTACATGACAATGCTTGCCCTTCTCAGGATGTGTCCCCACCTTCCTTCCAGAATAATAATTAGCATCTAAATATAACAATGATCTGACTGGGGAAGAGGCACGGAGACCTAGAGACTTAAGCTCAAAATGTGAGGCTCTTTGTATTGTGTTCATGCCCATCAGAGAAGATCCATTGCAGAAAAGGTGCCTAACAGCTAAACCGACTGGATGACTTGGCCAGCAGGTGTCAGCTGGCTTTTGCCTTGGTACCCCAGTGCCTGCACAGTGGGCTCATAGAGACACCTTCACAGCAGAGTGGGAGGCTATGCATGGGCCCAGCAGCATGGGCTTCCTGTTGTCAAGACCGACATAGCTTCTATCACTGCTGACAATCAACTGGCCGGCACAGATGGACACTGAGCTCCCAGTTGGATACTATCCTTTGAGGAGAACGGTCGATGTCATCAGACCCCCTCCAGGCTGGAAAGTACAGTAATTCACTCTGAGCAGGAGTGACATGTGTGCCTTTCCTGCTCACAGGGGCCTCCACTGTTCGAGGACTCATGTAGCATCTGATCAACCATAAAGCATTGCTTTAATGGAGAGACTTGGCCGTCGGCGTATCACCACAGGACTGACCTACAGTCCTACCACACATCACCCCATTTAGAAGCTGCCGGCCTGATAGAGCTGTGGAATAGCCTCCTGAAAGCGAGGATGTGCAACAGTTTAGACATGGCACTGTGGGGTGGGGGCTAGCCTTCAGGATGCAGTATATACCTTAAACCAAGGCCATGTCATGGTACTGTGCCCTCAGTAAGCAGAATATATGAATCTGGGAGGCAAGAGGTTGAATGAGTTGTGACCTTATTCATTATCATGCTCTAGTGACTTGCATAGGGCATTTGTCTTTCCCATCCCTGCAACGTTCGTTAGTCTCAGTGAGTTTAGAGGTCTTGGTTCCCAAGGGGGGAGTTTCCACCAGGGGACATAGTAAGAGTCCTACTTAACTTGAATCTATACCCCCTGCTGCTGCAATTGGTTTTTAGGTTATACCGTTATCATCTCCCTCCCATTCTAGATACCCCTCCTTCTCATCTTCTGCTGGTGGTGTGCCCAGGGGGTGTCCCGGACTCTTGTCTGGCTACTTCTTTTACTTGCCCATTTAGAGTTACAGCTGGGTGTGGAGGTGTTGGGGGATGTTCCAGTGGGTCACCTGAGCATCAAGCACATTCCTCTCTGACGCTGTTAGGTAACAGCCTGAGCTCCTCATGAGGATTAGGATCAATTGCTTCCTCCAGTGTGGCAACCGCTTTTTTTGCCTGTGTGTCTAGTGGCATGAGGATGGAGTGGTGGGACTCCCTATGATGAGGATGCAGTGTTGGGACTCCTCACAATGAGGATGGAGTGGTGGGACCCCTCACCATGAGGATGCAGTGGTGAGACTCCTCACGATGAGAATTAAATGAGATGAAGCTTTCAGATTAGGGCCTAGATGGCTGTTTGCATATTATCATTAGCAGCTAGTTACCCACATTTGTTCCTCCAGAGAAGGAAAAGAAAGGCTTACCCCTAATTTAAAGGCATGTCTCCACCCCACTACCCCGCCCCTGCTTGTGCGCGCGAGCCCACGCCCTCTCTCTCTCACAAAATAATAAATCTTTTTTGAAGTTTTGCATATTGTAACAATAGAGAAAAATCTAGTTTGAAAGAAAAAAATAGTTCGATCATTTGAAATCTGAGCGGTAAGGAGTGGGTGGCCTCCGAACAAGTGAGCTCTACAGTGGAGTGGTCCTGTTATTCCATCTAGTGGACAGCACGGGAAAGGCATGATTTTATCTTCAAAGGTTGTAATTTACCAAAAACATGTATCCTGATAAAAACTCACGGGTTCACTTGTTAATAAGTTTCATTCAGTTTTTAAACCAAAATGAAAGATCAGAATTCCAACACTAAGTTTGGAAACTAAATTCCCAAAAACATTTAGGATTTATGTGATGTATGCTAGAAAGATCATCCACTGAAGGAAAAGAGAATATACACCAGTTCTTAACTAGCATGAATTTTCACAGCCCACCTTTCCCATTCTTCTTATCCTTCTCCACCAACATTTTTATGCTTATTCTGGTACATGGACTGGGAGTGCCCCAGAGACTCAAAGTATACCTTCCCAACACACCACTAGACCTTCACTGGTACCAGAGCCATTCTGCTCATTTTCCAAGTATGCAACTATCACACGGGGCGCCTGGGTGGCTCATTCGTTAAGTGTCTGCCTTCGGCTCAGGTCATGATCTCAGGGTCCTGGGATCGAGCCCCGCATCGGTGCTCCCTGCTCTGCGGGAAGCCTGCTTCTCCCTCTCCTGCTCCCCCTGCTTGTGTTCCCTCTCTCGCTGTCTCTCTGTCAAATAAATAAATAAAATCTTTAAAAAAAAAAAAAAGAATGCAACTATCACTTAAAATTTTGTTGTAATCAAATTGAATATTTTTCAAGGACCTATGTATTTGTGTGTGTATATGTGTGTGTGCGCATACGTGCACACTGTTTCCTTTTACAGCCGTTTATTACCTTTATAATTTGTTTCCTCCTCCAGATATTTATGAGGGTGAAGACAATGGCAAACAAATCTCCCCCAAATGTGAGTAATAATAGCATACTTGGAGTACGCACAGCTGTTCTGAAACCTTCCCTTTAGTATTATTGTAATCACTATTAACAATAATAACAGGTATTATTTATTAAATTCCTAAAATGTACCATTTTACTTTATAAGCCCTTTTGCTAATCTTTATATCAAAACTGCAATAGATATTAATATCCCCATTGTTATAGACAAGAAAACTGGTGCTCCGAGAGGCTAAGTGGCTTACCCAGGACCACACAGCTAGCGAATGCGTGACAAACTCAGAACTGTACTCAGGTCTCACTGACCCCAAAGCCTCTGCTCCTACCCTTGGACAATGGGCCTTTCATTTATTCACTCATGGCATCTGCCAGACCCTGAGCCCAAGATTCTGGGGTCTCCTGAGTGTTGTCACCCCTATAGGACCTAAGACTTAGTCCCTAAGGCCCCTAAGGGCCCATGGCCAGTGAATCCAGGAGGAAGGGATTCAATATGCAAATGACAAAGATGCAGCCGCCTCAGACTGGGAGCTGCGCTTTCATCCCCTGCACTTCCAGCTTGGACTGACGGCCGTTCTCCAAGGTTTGCTGGTTCTGCGAATTCAGAGTCTCTTCCAGGGGGCGGGGGGAGGGGGGCAGTGGGATACTGGGTGAATAGGGTATAGTCTCTGCTGCCAAGAGCCCCAGGACCCTCGGGGGAGACATAGGAGGGCTCACCCGGGGCAGCTGCAGTTTGTGTCCCTTCAGGGGTCTTATGAGGTGATTGTGGGTGAGCCCACCACCTCCACAGCCCCTCTCCTCCTCTGTCTCCCAGAATAGAATGGGACAGAATAGAATAGAACCCAACAGAATAAAGTAGAACAGAATAAAAGACTAGAATAGTACAGATCAGGTGAGCACATCACACCCTGTAAGGGGACTATTGTTCCATAAACTTGTTTTCATTTTAGAGATGTGTTATGTGTGCACGCTGTGTTGGGTGTAAAATGGGCATCTCTCTGTGGCTGCACCCCAAGGAATATAGACAACTTTGGTCTAGGCTAACTGGGGGCCTGGGGGACCCCAGGCATCCCCCACCCTCACCTGTGGTACCGGGAATGAAGGAGGCCATGTGTGGTGACAGTCCCCAGCAGGGAGGTGGCATTTGGGTATTGTCAGCGCTGGGAAGATCATTTCTCTTCCCAGGCTCAGGCCGTTCCTCCCTGAAGGCAGGGAAAGGCCCAGATGACCTCGAAATAATGCAGTCAACCTGTGGCCAGGTGTGTGAGGTCCTGTGTGGCAGCCCTGTGCCAGGCTGAGGGCCCCCTCCCCCTCCGGCTGGGCCCACAGGAGAGGGGCAAGCCGCCACCAGTGCCTGGTCATCATTTTATCCCAGGTGCCACTTCCCTGCAGAGCGGCTGCAACTGGCTGTCAGGTCTCTCAGTTCCTGCACTGCTCCCCAGCCCTGCCGCCCCGGGGGCCCTGAGTGCTCCACGGCTGCCAGAGGCCTCAGGGCCAGGCCCCACCCCTGGCCTCCCAGCAGGTGGCTCTGGGACCCCTGTCCCCCCCACCCCCGCTGTCTCTGGGCCACTGAGGCCATGGCCCCCAGAGGAGCAGCCCTTCCATTCACACAGTGCTGTTGGGGGTGCAGGGGGTGGGGAGGGGGGTAGACTTTACCTCCAACATAGTGTGCACACATAATACATCTCTAAAATGAAAACAAGTTTATGGAACAATAGTCCCCTTATAAGTATGCTGTCCTCATCTGATCTGATCTGTTCTATTCTGCTTTATTCTATTGTGTTCTTTTTTTTTTAAAGATTTTATTTATTTGAGAGATTAAGAGAGCGCAAAGGAGGGGGAGGGGCAGGGGAGAGGGAGAAGCAGACTCCCCGCTGAGCAGGGAGCCTGACCTTGCAGGGCAAGGTCTCCGTTTCCTGCCTTATAGCCTCGCAGCAAGACTGCCAATCCACATCCTCATTGTCTGGTCCCCAGTGTAAGGGGGTCTGGGTTGGATGACTGCCCTAGAGACGAGTCTCTGGGTGTTACTGTGGATGTCCCTGAGTCCCATCAGGAGGGGGGCAGTGGGAGGCACCTCTCTGAGCCAGTTTCTCCTACGCCCTCCACCCCTCACCCTACCACGTGCTGTGCTGGAAATTAAACCAGGTTTACTGCAATCTGAGAGCACTGTGTCCAGCTGCCTTACAACTGTCCAACATCAGGCGGGGTCCCTGGAGGCCTCTGGGAAGGGGCTGCCTGGCCGCTCCCTGTTTTGCTGGCACAGCCCCCACTGATCTGCTTTGGGGAGAGCCCTCGGCCCCAGAAGGCAGCTTGGGAGGCCTCTGAGCAGCAGGTCACGAGAGTTCCCACGTGTGTGATTCCTGCTCACTGCTATAACTGTGCCATCACCCCCAAATGTAGGCTCCTCTGGGATTCCTGTGTCCAGAAAGTCCTCGCCCCCATGCCCTGCTTATGCCCTTCAAGGCCTCACCCCAACCCTGCCCTTGAATTGTCACCTGAACAGAAACTTCGTCCTGCACTCAGAGTCTTGTGGGACTGATTACTCGGCTGCCGCTCAGCCACTCAGCCAACGGAACTTGGTCAAGTGATTATTCCTCTCTCGTCTCAGTTTCTCATCTGTATACTGGAGCTAAAGCTCTTACAGGGTTCTCTGAAGCGTAACTTTTGGCCAACTGACACCCCAGCAGGCACAAAGCAGGGCCCAGTGTCTGGTGGAGGTTGCTGGCATGACTGGCCAGTTAATGAAATCAATTCACTGGAGAGAGAGGCAGGATGTACTTGCTCCTCTGATTTCCCATGGGGAGAGCGGTGACAGAGGCTACCAAGGGAATGGGAAATGGGCCGTAATCAGGGGAGAGAAAAGAGGGCAAGGGGAAAAGAAGGGAGGGAAGAAGGGTGGAGGGCAGGAAGGTCGTCAAGCACAACAAGACAACCATTTTCTTGGAGGACAAGGAAGAGAGCTATGAACACCATGTAGACATGTCTTCTCAGTCACAGTTACAGAATTTTGAGCTGGAAAAGGGAACCTGGAGATCACAGACCTCCACCTCCCCCCAGGTGAGGCAGTACAGGTCCTGGGAAAGTATGAGTTAAAGATGGGGGAAAATGGGTTCTTGGGGACAGGCACTGCCTGGGACATCTGGCCATCCCGTATCCAGCACAGCTGGCCAAATTCTTCCCTTTCTTTCTCCAAGGCTGCTCCAGCAGAGAGTTTATCTCCATGGCAACCTTTGAGGAGCCTGAAGGTGCAGAAGAAATGGAAAAGGAGAGCAGTGCTCTGAGTGTAATTTATTTTCTTCTTACCTCTTTCATTTTTTCCCTCGTTCCTATTCATCAGCTTCTCCTGCCTCTTCCTCTCCCCGTTTCCTCTCCCCTTTCTCTCTCCCCCCTTTTCATGATTCTCACCCAGAAGGACCAGGCCTAACCCAGGAAGCTGAGGTCACTGGGTCTGCAAAGTGCCTCAGACCCTCTCAGCCTAGCATGGCCCCTGTCTCCTTAGCAATGCACTGGTTTCTGGCCATAAATATGGAGCTCCTGCTGGGATCCCGAGTGACCCTGTTTGAGAGCTAGGGTGGGCCCCAACCTGCCGGCGGGAATCACCGGTTGCGCCTGGCCCGGGCTCGGGCACTCCTCGGCACTGCCAACTCTGAGGGTGCACCACTGTCCTCTCCCTTACAGCTATCCGGACTTTTCCAGTTGGACGACAGTTATGAAACGTGTTCCTCCAAATCTGTCCTGCAAACGAGAGAAAGCATCCAGGGTAAGAAAGAAGGTGGCGATGAGGACATGTGAGTGTGAAAGAGGAAAGAACAGTGAGCGAATTGGTTAGCCATCGCTCCCCTGACTCTTCTTGGAATTTCAGACGACAAACAAAACTAAGCCAGTGTGCACCGGCTTGCTCGCCCCGGCGGGGGAGACGGCTAATCTGCGGGCAGAAGCAGTGCGGGCGAGGGAAGGATGCCGGAGGACCCTCTTCCCCAGAGAACTGACACTGGTTCCAGACCACAGCGGCTCCCGGCTCGGCCGAGCCGCCCCAGGCCGCCTTCGTTCCGGGCACAGGCTGCGGCGGGCGCCGGGGGCCGGGCCCACCCTTAAATAGAACGCGGCCAAGGGGCCTCGGACCCTCCGAATCTGCCGCGCTGGCGCGGGGGGAAGGGCCAGGACCACCTTCCAGAGGCCTGAGGAAGGGTCCACCGCCTACCGGCGGAGCCCACCCTCCGGCTGCCGGCGGCGGCGAACCTGGGAGCTGCTCCCCACGCGCCTGCGCGAGCTCCGGGCACTGGGAGCAGGCGTCCGCCAACTCCCGGGCTGCTCCACACGCGCCTGCGACTGCGCCTGCGCCAGCGCCGGGCCTTGCAGACGCCGGCGAATCCCCGGGCTGCTCTGCGCGTGTCTGCAGAGGTTAGTGGAGCCCAGCCCTGGAGGGCTTTGCCCAAGGTTTCCCAGCGTTGGCGCTCTGACTTTGGGGGCTGGATAATTCTTTGTTGGGGAGGGGAGGGCTGTCTAGTGCATTGTAGGCTATTTGGCAGCATCCCTGGCCTCCTCCCACAAGATGCCAGTAAAATCCCTCTCCCACCCGCTCACCCAAATTATGACAATCTTTTTAAAAATGCCTTCAGACATTGCCAAATTTTTCCTCGGGTGGGATTGGGGAGATCTGTTGAGAATCTCCTATCCGAGCCTCGGAGGAGCCGAAACTCTACAGGGGCAGCCCTGTGCTCCTCTTGAATCCCCACAAAAATGTTCCTGTGGTGTTTGTGTTACTTTGTTCCAGGATTGTGTCCTTTCAGAGAGGGTTGGTTACAAGTTAATGTCTGAGGTATTTCGTTTTAGATTTATTTGTTTTAAAATTAGTTTGTTATCTACAGCTATTTATTTTTCGTTTTGTTAATTTTTAGTTAATTTCTATTTTTAGTTTTCTAGTTATTTAATTTTATAGCTTTAAAGTTACTTTGTTTATAAATATTTTGTTTTCAAGGTTATTTCGTTTTTGAATTATTCATTTTCAGTCTCTTATTTACAGCTATTTTAAGTTATACATTTACAAATTAGCTTTAGAATTATTTTAAATTATCTTCACAATTATTAATATCTGAGTTATTTATTTTTATAGTTATTCTGTTTTTTAGTTATTGGAGTTTTTTGAGTTATTTATTTTTACAGTTACTTATTTGACTACTAAAAATTCACTGGAAGTTTTAAAACTATTTTAGAATTATTTTCAGGATAAAGTGTTTTTAGTTATTTTAGAGTTTTTTCCCCTTGTTAATTTTAGAGTTACTTATAGTCACAGTTACTTATTTTTAGTTGTTTTAGATTTGGGCTTGTTTATATTCATTTATTATCTTTTAGTTTTTTGGTTTTAAGTTATTTTCAGTTGTTGCATTTTTGAGCATTATATTTCCTGAATTTTTTATTTTCAGTTTTTGAGAGATTTAGTTTTGAGTTATTTTCAGTTATTCTCAATTATTACTTTTCATTTACATCTTTGCCACTTAAAATTTTTTTCTGTTCTGTATTTTTACTTATTTCATTTTCAGATTTATTTTCAGAATTATTTAGTATTAGAATTACTTAGTCTAGGGGATCCAAACAAAAGAGAGACATGACATCGGTAATTTTAATGGAGAGAATTTAGTATAAAGAATTGTTATGCAGCTATTGGAGATTTTAAGAAGAAAAAAAGTGATAAGGTGATATCATGGAGACGGTAACTGCAAGGCGCAGCTACCAAGGGCTGAGGGAGCAAAGGGAGGAGGTTGGAGGTGGCCCCGCAGAGCTGGGCTTAGCCCTCTGAGGAGGAAGTGCTGCTTCATCGGACAGGTGTCCCAGGAGCTGGAAGTTGGTCTGGGAGCTGCCAGCTTGGTGCTGGTATCTTTGAAAGGGGGGGGTGGGTGATGAGGCTGGTTATGGAAGTGTTGGGAAGATGGCCAACTGCAGCTACTGGAATCAGCTGTTGCTCTCAGGGTGCAGACCAGTTGCTAGGAGGATGCTGACAGGAACTCAGGCACACAGAGGTCCCCCTCTCCCCTCTTACAGCCTCTGGTCAGTCTGCTCTCAGGGTGCAGACCAGTTGCTAGGGTGCTGAGGCACACAGAGGTCCCCCGCTTCCTTCTTACTGCCTCTGGTCAGTCCGCTGCCCTCTTACTGCCTCTGGTCAGTCCGCTGTCAGGGTGCAGACCAGTTGCTAGGGTGCTTAGGCACACAGAGGTCCCCCGTTCCCCTCTTACAGCCTCTGGTCAGTCTGCTCTATTGGCCGAGCCTGACAGACAGTAGCTGGCAAAGGAGGTGAGTGGCCCCAGGCCCCAAAGCAGAGATTAGAAGGGTGGGCTGAAAGCTGAGAAATCATGGCTAATAACCAGCACACTGACCTCTGGAGTTGTTTACTTTTAGAGTTAGTTTTGGAATTGTTAGCGTGATTTGATTTTAACTTTTCACAGAACGTGGGATCTGGCTAAGTTTTTGGTTCCCAGATTTGTTTCTGGAACGCAGTGGGAACTTCTTAAACACCTGAGGACTGTCTCCCATGTGACTCAAGAAAATTACTTCAGAATCAAGAAAACAAAAATAAGTATCTCACTTTGTTCATAAAGAAGCCCTTTGACTTTGTGGCCAAAAAAGGGCAGAGACTAAGGGACAGACCATTAGGGAGAGGCTCTTCAGCACAATTGTCCAACAGGGTGTTCTTTGAAGATTTTCAGAAAGCTATGTTGTGGAGCTACCCTCTTGTGCCCCTTTCCTAACAACAAAGTATCTTTCTCAATGGAGTGTGTTTCACATTTGTAGACTACAATATTGATTATTTGAACACTAAAATAAAGTTATTTCCAAATCCATAGGAAATCTTATCTCCTTCTACTTGCATTTTTTTTCCAACACATATTATTCCATTTTGGCCATAAAACATTTACTTGTTTATTTGTTCATTCTAATCAATACCTATTTCCTGACCACTCCTGTCCTCAGGAAGGTGCTGGCATCAGGAGAGAACAGGAAGGCATGATGATGAGTGAGAAACTCTCAGTACAGTTGGGGGAGACAGATGAGGAAACATCATCACAACACAGTGTGACAAATACTATGGGGGCACGAAATCCTGCCACTGACTTCCTGATGTCATCAGGGAGGGCGTGACATCAGGGCTGGGTCTCCTGGAGCAGGCGTTTTCTTCAGGTGGAGGAGAAGGACATCCTGGTCATGCACAGGCACAGAGGCGTGGAGGAGCTATGTATGGCAGGGAGGATGCATTGACAGAGGCCACTGGGCCACAGGGTTCAGAAAAGTACTAGCGTAAGGGCTGGCCAAGTGCTGGCCCTGGTGCTTGACAGATAAGACCTCATTTGGTCCTCACAGCCAGTCTGCATGAGAGTAGGAAGCAACCTCAAGAGTCAATGCTTTTCCTAAATAGAAAACCTGAATAGACCTATAACCACTAAGGAAATTGAAGCAGTCATCAAAAATCTCCCAACAAACAAGAGCCCAGGGCCAGATGGCTTCCCAGGGGAATTCTACCAAACATTTAAAGAAGAATTAATACCTATTCTTCTGAAGCTGTTTCAAAGAATAGGAATGAAAGGAAAACTTCCAAGCTCATTTTATGAGGCCAGCATTACCTTGATCCCAAAACCAGACAAAGACCCCATCAAAAAGGAGTACTACAGACGAATATCCCTGGTGAACATGGATGCAAAAATTCTCACCAAAATACTAGCCAATAGGATCCAACAGCACATTAAAAAGATTATTCACCACGATCAAGTGGGATTTATCCTGGGCTGCAAGGTTGGTTCAACATCCACAAATCAATCAATGTGATATAATACATTAATAAAAGAAAGAACAAGAACCATATGATCCTCTCAATAGATGCAGAAAAAGCATTTGACAAAGTACAGCATCCTTTCTTGATCAAAACTCTTCAGAGTGTAGGGATGGGGGGTACATACCTCAATATCCTAAAAGCCATCTATGAAAAACCCACAACGAATATCATACTCAATGGGGAAAAACTGAGAGCTTTCCCCCTAAAGTCAGGAACACGGCAGGGATGTCCACTATCACCACTGCTATTCAACATAGTACTAGAAGTCGTAGCCTCAGCAATTAGACAACAGAAAGAAATAAAAGGCATCCAAATTTGCAAAGGAGTGAAACTCTCACTCTTTGCAGAGGATATGATACTTTATGTGGAAAACCCAAAAGACTGCACCCCAAAACTGCTAGAACTCATACAGGAATTCAGTAAAGTGGCAGGATATAAAATCAATGCACAGAAATCAGTTGCATTTATATACACCAACAACAAGACAGAAGAAAAAGAAATTAAGGAGTTGATCCCATTTACAGTTGCACCCAAAACCATAAGATACCTAGGAATAAATCTAACCAAAGAGGCAAAGGATCTGTACTCAGAAAACTGTAGAATACTCATGAAAGAAATTGAGGAAGACACAAAGAAATGGAAAAACGTTCCATGCTCCTGGATTGGAAGAACAAATATTGTGAACATGTCTATGCTACCTAGAGCAATCTACACATTATGCAATTCCTATCAAAATACCATCAACTTTTTCAAAGAAATGGAATAATCCTAAAATTTGTATGGAACCAGAAAAGACCCCGAATAGCCAGAGGAATGTTGAAAAAGAAAAGCAAAGCTGGTGGCACCACAATTCCGGACTTCAAGCTCTATTACAAAGCTGTCATCATCAAGACAGTATGGTACTGGCACAAAAACAGACATGTAGATCAATGGAACAGAATAGAGAGCCCAGAAATGGACCCTCAACTCTATGGTCAACTAATCTTCGACAAAGCAGGAAAGAATGTCCAATGGAAAAAAGACAGTCTCTTCAACAAATGGTGTTGGGAAAATTGGAGGGGCACATGCAGAAGGATGAAACTGGACCATTTCCTTACACCACACACAAAAATAAACTCAAAATATATGAAAGACCTAAATGTGAGACAGGAATCCATCAAAATCCTTGAGGAGAACACAGGCAGCAAACTCTTCGACCTCAGCCGCAGCAACTTCTTCCTAGAAACATCACCGAAGGCAAGGGAAGCAAGGGCAAAAAACTATTGGGACTTCATCAAGATAAAAAGCTTTTGCACAGCAAAGGAAACAGTCAACAGAACCAAAAGACAACCGACAGAATGGGAGAAGATATTTGCAGATGACATATCAGATAAAGGGCTAGTATCCAAAATCTATAAAGAACTTCTTAAATTCAACACCCAAAGAACAAATGATCCCATCAAGAAATGGGCAGAAGACATGAACAGACATTTTTCCAAAGAAGACATCCAAATGGCTAACAGACACATGATAAAGGGCTCAACATCACTTGGCATCAGGGAAATCCAAATCAAAACCTCAATGAGATAGCCCCTCTCACCAGTCAGAATGGCTAAAATTAACAAGTCAGGAAACGACAGATGTTGGCGAGGATGCAGAAAAAGGAGTACCCTCCTACACTGTTGGTGGGAATGCAAGCTGGTGCAGCCACTCTGGAAAACAGTATGCAGGTTCCTCAAAAAGTTGAAAATAGAGCTACCCTATGACCCAGCAATTGCACAACTGGGTATTTACCCCAAAGATACAAATGTAGTGATCCAAAGGGGCATGTGCACTCCAATGTTTATAGCAGCAATGTCCACAATAGCCAAACTATGGAAAGAGCCAAGATGTTCATCAACAGATGAATGGATAAAGAAAATGTGGTATATATACACAATGGAATATTATGCAGCCATAAAAAACCCGAAATCTTGCCATTTGCAACGACGTGGATGGAACTAGAGGGTATTATGCAAAATAAGTCAATCAGAGAAAGACAGGTATCATATGATCTCACTGA